AAGGATGGAGAGGAAAGACCCGATTCAATCCATCAGGCATCCATACATTTATAAGAGAGTATAATCACGCCCCTCCAGCTACTCTTTTAGAAGGCAGGGGAACGCAAAGTGGTGCTCACGTCGATATAATGGGAAATTTTGCACTAATTGAAGATATCATCAGAATAGCTGCTGGGGCTACTGGAGAAGACTTGGGAGGAGATCAAGTGTACTCGGATATCTTCAAGTGGTCTGAAAGGATTAAACTAAAGCTTTAACATTTCAATGGTGAGATTTATGCCATGTCTTTTTTACAATATGACTGATGCTATATGGTTTCAAGTTCCTTCTTTCGTTGTTATGATTAGAAAAGGTAAAAGAATAGATCAATAGGTTTTTGGACTTTCACTGGTTATAGGTTGCATGAAAATCATGCACTTCAACTTTTGTAGCTTAGAAGTATTCTATATTAGGTGCATGAAGGCTTCATTTTCTTAACTGAATGAATCGATGTCAGCTGAGATAGTTATTTGCTATACTATATTGGTAGTAGTTCCATACAACTTAGGATGCTGCTTTTGTACGCAGAATTTCATGTGCGCGTAACCAATTACTTTGGGGAGCTTCTTGTGCTAAGCAATACAACTGGCTTCTCGTCTCCCTGCTGAAACATCGGTTTTATCTGAACAAGAGCCGGGAAACCTGAAGCTGCTTACTTCAGTGTCGAAGAACTGTAAATTTTCCAAGAAGCATGCTTGTTTACACCCATTTTCACTATGCTTTAGTTTGGCTGCCATTAGGTTTGCATAACTTCATGTTCCTATTAATTTTGGACATTCATTGATTTTTTCTGTAATTATGTCATAATTATATCCTTCATAGCTTAGTGCACATACTAATTCGAAAGCAGCAAAGAACTGGTTGATTTGCTTTTAGATAGGGAAGTATTTATCTTGTCCTATTATATGGTTTATGTATCAAGAATGTAATCAGTCAATTTATCTTTTTTTCTATTCAAGTTGGGTAGATAAAACTGATGATGGCCGAAAATACCTTTATTTACTTTTGTGCAATCAACTTTGATCCCTTCTAGTTCCCTAGTCAGTTACTGTCTTTAAAAAATGCGTTTGAAGTACATATGGAAAAAGGGTTAATTTCTTACATATAATCTAATTTTATCCGTTATATTAGTAAAGTCACAAAATTATTTCTTGTATCACTAAAAATGCCAAGTAAAGTCACAAAATTGTTTCTTGTATCTTTAAAAATGCTAAATTATGTGTTAATTTCTCAGATAATACAACTAATCGGAAAGTTGCTTTCTGTTGCCGCAAATCTCTTCAACTCTGAATCGGACCCCAAGTAACTGTAAGAACTCGACTTCAACAAATTTAATCAAATATTAACCTTTTAACGAGTAATTCATTTCACGTTGGTTTAGTCCGTTATTAAGAAAGACATATGTAATGGATTTCATTAATTTGCAAGTAGATCTTTTTATTTTGTTTGAATCGTCATGCCTTACCAACAAGTGTTATGATGAAGTGGTAAGCGGTGACGGACCCAGGATTTTGTGCAAGTGGGTTCAGTCAGAGAAGTCCATAACTAACATAAGTTGTATAAGCGAGTTCAAAAATAATTTCTATACAAAATTTACCCTGCTTTAGCCATAATTTATACATATACATAGTATTATTTTTTGACGAAGCGGGTTTAGTTGAACTCACTTCTCACCACTTGGGTCCGCCCCTGGCGGTAAGTACTCTTTATATTTAATTAGAAATTTTGGGTTCGAGCGTTAAAACACTTTAGTCAGACTTTAACGTGGGTAATGTACCTTAGGGGAGAAATAAAGAAAAAAAAATCGTGTAGCCCATATTTACTATGCCCAACTGTTAAATGCCTAACAATTAACTCCACTTCCATTTAATTGGTTTAAAGTGAGGTTTACTTGCCAAAAACGACAAACAGTGGGATTTGGATTACATTTGTCCTTATTTTGTCGTCGTTTAGTCACCTCAAACCGCCAAAAAAGATCACCGGATTTCCGATGCCTTAGAAGTTTTATTTTGTGTCTCGTACAATTTACACGTTGTATGAGACTTCTTTTTATCTCACAAATTTGTGGACCTTAATCTTATATTTCTGGGTCCACAAAATTATGCGATAAAAAAGTTATCTCATACAACTAGTGTCAGTTGCATGAAAAACAAAATAAAATTTTCCCCTATGTTGCTGTTCTTACGTTAAAAAACCTGCCCAGAATTTTGATTCTTTTAACAACTACTCCTACCAATCTATTGCGTGGATATACAGACTGGCCTTCTTTGTCAACTTTCTTCTTTTACATCCTCCATCGAATAAGTTTAAATTCAAAGTGGAGCCAAGAATAAGTTTTGGGACGGTAGTTTGTTTGAGAAATAATGACATGCTTTTATATAATTTAAGGTTAAAATTTTTATTTTATATATAATGATAAGCTTTTATGATCACTCAAATTTTAAACAATATTTAATATTGCAAGTTTCAAAAAAAGAAATTTCTTGAGCTCTTTGCCGAATCAAACTAATCACATCAATTGAAACGGAGTGAATAATTATTATATTATTTTTAGTTTTTTGTCTAGCATTAATCCCAAATCTTAACTACTTCTCTCCCTACTTTGACAAGAGGGGTTGCTCTGATGGTAAGCAACCCCCACTTCCAACCGAGAGATTGTGAGTTCGAGTCTCCCCAAGAGCAAGGTGGGAAGTTCTTGGAGGGAAGGATGTCGGGGGTCTATTTGGAAACAGTCTCTCTACCCTAGGGTAGGGATAAGATCTGCGTACACACTACCCTCCCCAGACCCCACTAAGTGGGATTATACTGGGTTGTTGTTGTTGTTGTTGTTGTTGTTCTCTCTCTACTTTGACTTAGGTAACTATTACTCCTTCATTTAAAAAAAAATTTACCTCTTTCCTTTTTAGTCTGTTTTAGAAAGAGCGATTCCTTTTTAAATTTGAAAATAATGTAACATTAAACTATTTATTTTACCCGTAATGAGATGATTTATGATCATATAAATATTTATGAGTTATTTAAACCACAAGTCTTTTGTTCCATTTTAAACTCCAGGTCAAATATGTTCATCTTTTTAAAATGGAGAGAATATTAATTAACTAGTACTAGTGTGAATGCGAGGCAGAAGTTTCTCCCAGTCTCTAGAAAACTAAGTTTAATATATTGAGGGGGAATTTTTTCAATTATTGATATATTTAATTAAATTGACGTGCAGTGTTTTAAAGGATAAAATTAAGATAAAATGTTAGGACTCGTCTCTAGATGGGTAATCTCTAAATAGGAAATTGAGTTTTTGGCTTGTGTCACAAGATCTTACGATGAAAATTCCTTTTTAATGTTCGATAGGTTAAACAAATTTCATATATACTCATACTTTAGGTTCCTAATTCCTATGTTTATTTAGAGAGAACTAATAACTATATTTAAAAAAATGAATTCTACTTCAAGTTATCTTATTTTATTCATTTTGTTGCGACCAAATAAACATACACATTACGAACCTAAGTATGAGTACATAGGAAACTATAATTACTGTAATATAAATATAGAAAAGGTTCCCTTTCACTCGAAATATTATAATCTATATGAATCTATCTTACGTTAACTTGTTAAAGGTGACAATTTCTCCTTGTGTCTATCGAAATGGATAAGAGAAGAGTCACGTAAGTACATGCATTTCATAAAGTTATTAAACAAAATAAATTTAAAAAGTTCAAGTTTCTAAATTAAATCTTGCATTACTAATTAATCTCAATATAACTAATACTATTTTTGGTTTACGCTATTAAAGTTTGCATAACCTATGGGGCGTTTAATGCCGAAAATCATATGGTGTATATATAACCCATGCATGCATAAATTAAACGATAATTTATGTATTATTATATGAAAGTATGAGAGGTTGACCATGCATGAATCTTAAATAATAATACATGTATTATTTATTCACTATATAACAATTCATGTATTGTACGATAATCCTACGTAGTATTATTTATAACTAAACCACAATCAAACGATATTAAACTATAAGTCATTGCCTTGTATGTGGGGCATTTTGGTAAATAGGCTCAATGGACGAACCAATAACCTTAACCGTTTCGAAATTAATCCATTTAAAATTCGGATTACAAAACACACTCCACAATTTACGAGCGTGTACCTCACACGTCCAAAAAAGAAGAAAGAGAAAAAGAGATAGGTCATGCAAATGAAGATTAAGCGCGTGACAGAAGTAATTACAGTGGAACAGTAAAGGGCGGCTAAACACAGTGGGTAAAGACTAAAGTAATTACTACTATTTTAGTGTTACAGTACAGACCTCTGAGCCAATTAACACTCTCATCTTTTAAAAAAAGAAAGAAGTCAGAAATGGTTAAAATTTTGAAAACTGATGATGCCATTTATGTGTTAGCAAGCTACTCTACTTTTCCCTTCGTTTCAATTTACGTGAACTTGTTTTAATTTACGTGAACTTGTTTGACTGAGCACGGAGTTTAAGAAAAAAATGAAGACTTTTAAAATTTGTGATCCTAAACAAGTCCAAATGGACCCAGAATATTTGTGTAGTTATAAAAGCCTCTCATCAAGGGTAGAGTTGTAACTTTAAGCTAAATTGTTACCAAATTTAGAAAGGATTCCTTCTTTTTGGAACGGACTAAAAAGGAAATAGGTTCACGTAACAGATTAGTATTTACTTAGCTACTATTGGAATTTTCTTTTTAATTCTTAAACAGCAGAAGCAGCATGTTTTTTTTAATACTACTATCTCTTTTATAGAGAGAGGGAGAGAGAGTTTGAAGGAAGGGAACATGCTTAATTTCATCCCAACAGGCGACTCTTGTGTTTATTTTCCTTTCTTTTCCTAATCTAAAGGTATTTCTCCATTTCTTTAATTTAAAGTTTTCCCACTTATTTATCCTACTTCAAGTTCTGAGATGATTATATATTTTCATATACACGTAGACTTGTTCTTTTCTTCTTCTCTTATTATATTAGTCATGTTTTCTGTTTGTTTCGGTTTTGCCATTTGTTTTTGCAGTAAAATCTGCTATTTTGGGTATTATATATCTCTGTGTTCTCCACTTCTGCTTATTGAATGTTGAATGCATGTGGTTAGTTTTCTGCTAATGGTTATGCACGTGTAAAAGGAAAATAATGGGTAAAGTTATTATCTTTACTTTAATATGTGATACTGTTTATGGTTGGATACTAACTGGGGTTTTGACTTCAGGTTCATATAGTCTGTTTTGGGTATATCAAGAAACTTAACAAGATGGAATTTTGGAATGGTGCCTGTTATGTGTAAAAGAGATCTACAATTTGCTTTGACTTTTCTTCTCAGCTACTGTTCTTTGTCCTCATTTATTTTTCTCCTTCTTCTCAGCTACTGTTCTTGTTCCTTCTGGTAAGCTGGGTTTTCCTGGTGTGTGTGTGTGTGTTTTTTT